TTATCATTAGATGTGTCTTCTGTCCTCTCACCACCAACTTCTCTATCCCCTGTGACGATCGGCTTGGCTAGGCCAGATACCCATCAAACACAAGTCTAAATGTTGTTGTAGAGGTATTTTGTGGATATGATTAGTATCTATAATCTGTTTAATTAAAGAGGATTATTCACAGTAATCTGGGCAAGCTTTATCCCATCAGTTGAAAGGCCTGAAGAGCAGAACAGAGGTTTCCACCATCAGCGAGTGCCTGCCTCACATTTCAGCCTTGCCAGTGCCTGCAATTGCAAAAGCCAATTCCTTGGAATAAATCTTTTTCCACATATATAACCTACTGGTTCTGTCTTTCTGGTAGGACCCTGACTGATAGATACTCCCCAGACAGTTAATTATACTTAAAGTTTGTATCACAGTAATTTAGTACTTTATTAACCATGTTGTATTTGCTCTTTACTGGTCGATGGTAGTCTTGTGCCATCTCCCTCCATACCTTTTCCAAAGCATGCCAGGTGCAGTGTGTGCCCTGGCCATGAGTTTGTGTTGGTTGATTGTGGTAAGTCTTAGATTTTAATTAAAGGAAGTAGAAGCTAGAAGTTTTTTCAATAAAGGGGATTCCTTACCACTTGGGCTGGGCTCTCCTGGCCTTTTGATTTTTTAAGATGTGATGCAACCAGGTTTTGAACTAATAGTGATCTTAGTCACTCTGTGTAAGTTTTAGGAATCTTTTAACCACATAGGGCTTTCCTTTGTGTGACTTGAGAATTTTACCACGAAATGGAGGAACTATTGATAGCTATATAGACAAATGTTGGTTGAACCATAGACACCATGGAGTGGGGTAGGGTTTCAAACTTTAAACAGTGTGTAGGGTACTGTTTCCAAGGAATTGTTTATCAGATCCATGGGTTCAACTCAAGCACTTACTTCTGCCCTTTATACCATCACTAGAGGCCGGTGCACGAGATTCGTGTACTCTGCGGGCGGGGGTGGGGGGCGCAGGGGAAGTCCCTCAGCCAGGCTTGTGCCCTCTCAGTGTCCGGGAGCCCTCAGGGCCGACTGATAGCTCCTTCCGGGGAGTGGGCCTAAGCCGTCAGTTGGACATTCTTAGCGTTGCCGCAGAGGGAGGAGAGGCTCCCGCCACCACCGCTGTGCTAGCCAGCTGTGAACCTGGCTTCTGGCTGAGTGGCGCTCTGGCTGTGGGAGTGCTCTGACCACCAGGGGGCAGCTCCTGCATTGAGCATCTGCTCCCTGGTGGTCAGTGTGCGTCATAGCGACTGGCCGTTCCACTGTTCGGTCATTTTGCTTATTAGCCTTTTATTATATAGGATGATTATTTATTGTAATTAATCCAGATAATATTAACACTTAGGCCACAAATAACACTAAGGCTCTGGGTATGCTGGAGTGGAAAAGTAATTTTCCTCCCACCTTTCTAAATTCTTCTGGCTAACCTAGTAATCAAATTAACATGAGACAGGTTAATAGGAGAAAAATGACCAAATTTATTATAGATGTGCATTACATGGGTTCCACAAGAATATGGGACTTGAGGACACACTGGGCAGTTAGGCTTATATGCCATTCTGGACCAAGGAGAGGGAGGCAGGGGTCTGGGACTCCAAAGGAGAAGCAGGCAACTCACAAGTAGATGAGAAAGAGCAAACTTGGGGTCAACAAATTCTTGCTGGGCCACCCAGAAACCATGGGACACAGGAGGGAAGTCCAATAAACAGGGTTTTGCTTGTATCCTCTCTGTCTGCCACTTATTTCACATATGCTGAGGTGAATATGCTAGGTTCCCTTCTTAAAGCAGGTTTTCCTATCTGAATCCCTTTTGGCAGGTAAAGTAGGAGGATCAAAGTTTCTGAGTCTCCTGTTTCTTAAAAATAACCAACTTGAAATTATCAATATCCCAAAAGGCATATTTTGGGGTGGCAAACTCTGCTCTGCCTCAGAGGAATGAAGCTTAACAACACAATTAAGCAACTTGAGCTTCAAAACGTGCTAACCAGCCTGGCCAGAGTGGCTCAGTTGGTTGAACATAGTCAGTGCACTGAAAGGTTGCTGGTTCGATTGCCAGTCAGGGCATATACCTAGGTTGTGGTTTTGATCCCCAATCAAGGGAGCATGCAGAAGGCAATTGATGTTTCTCTCTCACATCAATGTCCCTCTCTCTCTCTTTCTCCCATCCTCTCTCTAAGCATGTCCTTGTGTGAAGATTAACACCCCCCCCCCAAAAAAAATCCTAACTATGAACCTTTTATTCAGTGCTGAGTACAGCAGGGATAAATTTGTTTGTCTCAGTGAGGTGAAATCCTAATGAGTGAGCATCTCAGCTGAATCACTTCTGACTCTTTTTTCCCTCTGGATTTAATTTCTGGATAAAAATGGAAACTTAGAGATCTACTTCAATAATGCAAATGTGGCTGGTATCTTCCCTGACAAAAGTCAATCTTTACCTTAACTAAAAATTATATGACTGCTCTTATATAACTGCGTTTAGTACTTTGGAATGTCAGGGTAATTCCCCTCTATCAGACAGATCCCTTGGGCATAACCAATGGGAGACCACAAATCCTCTCTCTTTTAAAAATATGTTTTTATTTATTTTTTATAGAGAGGAAGGGAGAGAGATAGAGAATTAGAACCATCGATGAGAAACATCGATCAGCTGTCTCCTACATTCCCCCTACTGGGGATCGAGCCTGCAACCAAGGTACATGCTCGTGACTGGAATCGAACCCAGGATCCTTCAGTCCTCAATCGATGCTCTATCCACTGAGCCAAACCAGTTAGGGCCATAAATTCTCTTTGTTATTGTTATCATGTTAATTGTTGACTGTTACCTGTCCTGTACCCACCTATGTAAAAGATATATGTGTCTGTCATTTTACTTTTTATCCAATCCCAGAGGGCCCCCACCACCTTTTCCTTTCTCCTGCCTCCCTAATCTATCACCAATGGATTTAATGTAACCCACTTGCATCTCTTATTTTTATAATGTATTAAATAAGGTGCAAAACTTCCATCCTCTGGAGCATTATCCCAATCCATTGAGATTTTGCTTCCTGGCAATTGTCGACAGTTTGGCTCAAATAAACTCACAAAAATTCTCTATAGATTTGAATGTTTTTTACATTGATATCACAAAAGAATGCACAGTGTGATTTATTTTGAAGAAGATGAAAATAGATAAAAAGCACACTTTATTTTTATGAATGTAAACATAGATGGCAAATTTTAAAAGAAATGGTTATTACAAAAGTCAGATGTTTGTTATTGGGAAGGATATGATCAGGAAGATGGGCACAGTGGTGATTAGAGGGGTTGCTTTGTAATTAATTATTCTTTGAACAGTATATTCGTGGTCTGTGCATGTCTTTGTTTATCTCTCACACACAAAACTAGATGGAGAATGGTTCGCACAAACAAAGTTTCTCCTCACACTAAACCGCGCTTGCCCCTTGTGGGTGGTTCTGTCTTCTTGGTTCTTCAGCTCCAGCTCTCCCCACCCCTCCCCAGGGAGGTCCAGACACCCACATAGACCTGAGACTGCTGGTATTTCTCTCTCAGCAGCTGGGCTGCAGGTCATAGAGGTTGAAGGTACAAATTCCCTTTCTACCTCTTGGGTGACTTTGAAGTCTGGGACTTGAGAAGTCACCTGGTTCGGAGGAGGTGGGGCAGCAGTTCCTGAGCATGGAGGGCCTGGCCCGGACTCCCCAAAGCCATCTGGAGGGCAAAGGGCTCCTCCCTATTGGCCATGGAGTCATGGTGAACCTGTGATTAAACCCCTGCCTCTCCCCAGACACCCTCTCCAACCAGACAGCTGGCAGCCCTTCAAGGAGAGGTAAAGGCTTTGCGCTGTAACCCAGAGTAACAGGCCACGTAGGGGAGGCCACATGTCTGAGCCTGTTCTCAGGAACGGGATGGACACTTTAAGTGGGTGTGCCATGGAGGTAGGGGCAGAACTGACTTTTCCGCCGCCGAGCGCTTCATCCTCCTTCCCCTGGGACCTCGCTGCACTGGGGACCACCAGCTAAGGGTTGCCTGTGGAAGAGGTATCAGCACTACAGCACAGTGAGTGGCCTCTTACAGAGGCAGGAGCTGTGTCTGTGCCCACAGTACTCTATTTGTGAAAGAAACCACCCAGGAGATAAGGGCTGGAGGTTTCAGAGTCATTCTTCTGTTCTGACCAGTGAAGATTCAGGGAACACATGCCAGCCACCCCCATGTCTGTCTTCCTGACAGCTGAAATGGCCAAGGTGAAAATATCTTCAGATAAAGACTGAGCTGTCAGTGAAGGGCCTAATGATACAGATATTTCTAATGCATCCCTGTTCCTCATCGGTGAGGAACAGATCAGGTCACACTGCTGGGCAATTTGACATACAACCTAAAAGCCTAACAAAGTGCCTCTTGCTTTGCAATTCACATTTGTAAAAGATTCTAGGGCTCCACCTTTGCAAATAAACACCCTGTTCTGAGCTGCATTTCATCAAAGAATATCATTCTTTACAAACTCATTAAAAACTAAACAAGGCCAGGCTTGCAGGCAGGCACAGTCTGGAGAGCAACTTCACAGTTCTTTTGATGGCTCCAGTCTTACAGCCCCAGTTCTTAACAAACATGCAGAAAATCCTTCTTGCCCTTTTCCACCAGTACCCCGTTCACTTTTTCCCTTTCCCTTCTTCCTCTCCCCGTTTGACAGAGCTGCAAGTGAGACATGGGTTATGGGTGGAGAAGAGAAGACAGTGGAATTGGGCACAGTATGAGAGAAGGTTGATTATAGCTGTGGAAAAAGTGAATTGGTATTAGACATTTCACAGATAGTCTCTTTTCAGAATCTGTTCTGACATCATAGTTTTATCATGAAAAATTCCATGAAAACACTTACAGTGCTTGGAGAGTATTTTGGGATCCTGCCCCAGTTAGGATGAAAATGATGGTAAGAGAATGGTCTTTCCAGAGGACTCATCCATATGCCACCCCCTTTCCTCATTTAGGAAGGAATAGTGTCTCCGAGCGACTTGGACCTCGTCATGTCTCACGGCCTAGGCCTCCGGTATGCATTCATTGGACCCCTGGAAACCATGCATCTCAATGCAGAAGGTAGGGGCTCAGATGGGAATTTTATGCAGTGTAGTGTTTTCATGGGTTTTGTAAACAATCAAAGGTTGTCTTTTCTTACAACTGAATAGAAATGGTATTGTGTACAGGAGACAATGGCCAGCCCTGCTCATTCACAGGTAGGGGTAGGGCAGTGGCTGTGTCCCAGGATGTAAGTGGCTGTGTCCCATGGACCTCAGGGCTCTGTGTAGAGCAGCACTCAGGTGAGGACTGGAAGGAGAGGTGAGCAATGTTATGGAGACTTTGCCGCATGTCACCCAGCCTGATAGAAGATAAAGTAGTATTTTCCTGAGGAAGATAATGAAATTATTTAGCAGCAAGAAAAAAAAAAGTAGGGAAATAACCACATGAACCTCTGCTGGACTTACCTTTTGCCTAAACATGGGCAGCTTGCAACTGTGACTTGCTCATCTGTAGGCTTCTTTCCAAAAGCTGGGGTGTCATGAGGGAGGGGCTTCTACAGGAAAAGGGGCTGGTGCTCTTGGTTAGTGACCAGGCTAGGCCATCAGTTACCCTGGAGCCACCTCAAAGGGACTGGTAACTCTAAAAGCAAGGTCACTTGAGATGGGTGAGAAGCTTCCAAGAATGAAACTGTCCACCAGATTTTAAGCCATTTAAAAAAGACATCATTTGAAAAACAAATAATAAAACCTACACCAAATTAAAACAATGAATCAGAAAATCTGGGGAAATGTCAACTAAATAATATGATAGCTGTCTCTTGGTGTTGAAATTATAAGTAACTTTTATTACCTTTTTACTTTTCTATGTTGTAATAAATTTCTATAATTATTGTATGTTGTTTTTAAAATTTATATTATTAACTTGTAAAACATATGAAGAAAAAGAAAAAGAATATTGTATTCAGTTCCATGGTCTACATTTAACAAAAATATCGAGAAATAGAAGCTGATCCAGTGTGTGTGTGTGTATGTGTGTGTGTGTGTGTGCGCCGCATGTGCCTGTATTTGTCCATGTCTTTTGTGGGGGTGGAACCAGAATGAAAGACTGGAAATGGCAGGAAGACAGGTTTGGGGTCAGGACATGGCAGGGAGAACTTTCTGGTAAGTGGAACTGATGTAGAAGGAGAGGTCATGCTGTGGGTGGGTGGGCCTTGCTGCTGGAGGCTGGTCCTCACCTGTGCGGATGTTTGAATGTTGACAGGAGTCTCACAGTGAGGTCGGAAGTTGGAGCAGATGACCTCTGGGGAGTCTGCCGTAGATTTTATAATTCCACGAGGGTTTGGTAATACTTCAGTTAATTTTCACAACAGTAATTAATTAAATACAATTTCCAGTGGATAATCCCAAGCAGTTTTACCAGATGTATTGCACACAGCAGGCGCACACCTGGGTCCTTGGATGGGTTAGTAGGGTGTCATGCAAATGTGGTTCAATAGGTGACTTGATTCTTCCTTAACACCCAGCTGAGAGCAGCTGAAGAGAGGGGACTCTCACCTAGCACCCGCATGTTACTTGTATGGTAGAATAACAATTGAACATAGGAGGGTAATGTAAAGACACAGGCTTTATTAAAGTGAAACCAGAGTTTTGAAGTATCATTAAAATAAAGTCTTGCATAATTTTGAATGTTTTTTTGTAAACCAGAACCTTAAGCGTGATGAACATATTGAAGCATTTGAAATGTATGTAGACACTGCTGGATGACCACTGTGTTTTTATTTTTCTTGAGAAAAATAAGATAATTCAGGTATCAGGAGAAACTGATAGGAGAGACCTGAGAACCACTTTGACTCTCAAACAAGTAGAAACTGAAGCCAATGAAACCAGAAACTCGGGAGTCAAACAGTGTGGCAGATAGGACGGAGCCCATAACAATTTTTCACACAAAGCAGATTTGATAAGAAAACCTAATTGGTTTAATATGATAATGGTGGGCGGATGTAGTTTTCAACTTCAGAGCATTCTAAGGACCAGAGTTAGACAGTTATAAGATCAGGCTCAGAACCAGTAGAAATGATCATGATTCCTCAGTGTCACCCAGGATATATCAAGATTGGAACTGGGAGAGTTCTTTTTTCTGATGTTGTTTTCATAAAGCCAGTATCTCAGGTTAAGGCTAGTTATTAGTCTTAAAAGCTACAGTTTATCTAGAAGGGGAAAGAATATTTGATGATTTGTTTTTAATCTTATAAAATAGCAGCTGAAAAACAGGAGGCCAGCATGCTTTCTTCGCCTTTTGGCTACTTTTAAAAAGTGACACCCATGAAAGACAAGCTCTCAGAAGAGTGGATCTGGTCTGTGGAGCCAGTAAGCCTGGATCTCTAGTTGACCTATAAGCTAAATAGCCCTGTGTACTCAGTATCCCCATCTGTAAAATGGGGCAACAACAGTAGCAGCCTTATAAGGGTGGTGTGAGAATGAAACCAGATGGAGACATCTAGCTGGATGGCTGACATGAAGTCCATAATAAATGTTATATTCACACAAAGTTTTGTTTAATTCCCTATTCCAGTTTTTTTTTAAAAAAAATTCCCCCAAAGATTCACAAGTGCATTAGAGAAATACAGAACACATACAGATTAGGACATTTTTGCTGTGGAATATGAACTCTCAAGACTTTGGTTTCTTTCCATGCTAAGCTTTTAGACTAGCAGGTCAGCAAAGGCTGGTCCCTTGTACACCTACCAGCCTTTTGGGTGCCTGGGAACCTGGCAGCCCCTGGACATCACCTTCAGTTGAGATGAATGTTCTCTTGCCTCTCAAAATTTCCCTTGTTTAGATGCTTGTCCTTGTTTGTTTGTTTGTTTGTTTATCTTAAATTGAGATGTCTGCTTGGTGGGTCTGGTTCATTTGAGTGGAGCTGTGATTTGCAGTGAAATAGGTGAGCTGATAGGGCTGTTCCTGGCAGTTTCTGTCCACCTGCTCCAGCAAGGCCTCACTCAGGTGGGAATTACATAATGTCCCTGGGCTTTGGGGTCTTTTTGGTCTTCTCTGATTAAGTTTTGTCTCTTAAAGGCAGGGGAATTCATGTGAGTGTGGGTTCATAGACTGTGGGAAAAGCACACTTCTCTGGTGTGGGTAGCAATTAGGGCTCTCCAAGAATCAACACCCAGGGCGCGTCCCAGCAGCTGCCTCCACCGTGACAGAGGCCACACAGACAGGTGCCTGCTCTGTAAATGCAGACAGAAGGGATGGCTCTCCACTGCTCCATCACCTTAGGTTGTGTCTCACCTTCAGGGCTCACAGCCAAGGAATAACAAGTCCGAAAGCAGCAAGAGAAGCTAAATCCAAACTCATGACAATCAGTTCTTTCTCCCACTTCTTAAGAAATTAGGTTCAAAGTCTTCTAAAAAGCTAAGCTCTCTGAGAGCTGTTGGAAGTACTTGGTTGACCAGAATAGAGGGCATGGAAGCATAGCAGGAAAAACATAGGGAGGCTCACCTCATAGTAATACAGAGGAGGGATGGGCTGTGGGATAGAAGGTGAGGTGGCTTTTTCTTTTCATTTCCATTGAAATTGGTATTCTGGAACATTCCCGCTCATACGGCTCTATTGGAAGGGAAGATGTTGCAAAGAAGAGTAAGGTAGTGAATTTGCTGGGACACTGTGAACAATTTTGACACTAAATCACCATAAACTTGTACTTTGAGCTAGGGGGAGAGCTGCCCTGCGGTGTTAGATGCTCTATCTATGAAATGGAGGTCTGCACATGCTGGCTGTGTGGCCTCTTACCGTCTCCACAGACTCGGGGCTGCTCACCCCATGAGCCTGAGTACATGCTATAGAAAGAGTTTTTATGTTTGTAAGACTGAAGTTTTATATTGGTTTCCTAGAAAAGTTGGGGGGGGATTATTAATTGTATTATAGAGTTTTACTGTATTTTCTATCTTAAATAAATCCCCCTTTAAAGCCACAAATTTTATAAAAGGCAGGGAAAAAGAGTTCTCAAAAGCCCCTGGGAGATTCAGATAACTTCACAGGGACACAGAAAGATGAACGCTTGTTCAGAAAATGTGAAGTAATCCAGAGTGAAATACAGTCCTTGAATTGCATCTGTGGCTTTTCACTGCTTAAGGAGAACAGGGAGATAGAACTGGTTCACAGGAGGGTACTGTTGGGCTTCTGTTTCCCTGCACGTGGGTGAATCTCAGCTGCAGCCAGTCCTCCCATTTTCTTCTCATTTAATATCTTTCCAACTTATTTGATTCTTATGTCTCTGCCCCCCAAAAGGAGTAATTGTATTTGTGTCTAGATTTTACCACCTTTGGTTTGAATAAATAAACACTTAAAGTGAAGAAAATATTTAACTTCTAAAGGAAATAAATGTAATGGTGGTTTTCTGTGTTCTGGAAATGCTGAGTCCTCTAAGATAGCTAGCTAGTACTGGAACCTTTGTAGGGGTGGGGAACCTTTTTTCTGCCAAGGACCATTTGAATATTTATAATATCACTCTCAGACCATACAAAATTAACAACTTAAAAATCAGCTTGCTATATTTGGTCAAACATTTAATTAACACACTCCTAATGAGTTGGCAGGGCCAGACCAAATGATTTCACAGGTCCTGCCTGAGGGCCGGATGTTCCCCACCCCTGCTTTAGGAAGTCTTCTGGAATCCTTAATTGTCAGGTTATACTTGTGTTAAATGAAATGAAACCCTTATTTTAAAAAGGAGTGTCCACCACTTAATTATAGGTGCTAATGTTAGAAAAGTTGTTATATTTGAATATTTTACCCTTCAAAACAATTTCTAAGAGCTAGTTTGATATGATTTTAGCACACTGAAGGAGAAGGAAAGCTATTTGGGGCAAATAAAATTGAAATTCAGTGAATTCAGGCTTTCACAATAGTGTGGGTCCACCAAAACTAAACCCCAAAGAAGTTTGTCTTTTTCTTTTTTTAAGAATATTGTGTGGTGATGATTTTTATTTAAAACTAGAGGCCCAGTGCACAAATTCATGCACCAGTGGGGTCCCTCTGCCTGGCCTGCGGGATCGGGCCAAAACTGGCTCTCCGACATCCCCTGAGGGGTCCCGGATTGCGAGAGGGTGCAGGCCAGGCGGAGGGACCCAACCGGTGCACAATCGGGGCCAGGGAGGGACACAGAAGGTTGGCCAGCCAGGGAGGGACCATGGTAGGGCTCCAGAGCGTGTCCAGCTCATCTCGCTCAGTTCGGATTGGCCGGACCCCAGCAGCAAGGTAGCCAACCGGTCGAAGCATCTTCCCCCTGGTGGCCAGTGCACATCATAGTGAATGGTTGAGCGGCCTTAGCATATCATTAGCATATTAGGCTTTGATTGATTGAATGGACTGCTGGACACTTAGCATATTAGGCTTTTGTTATATAGGATTAATTTAAAACTTTTTCTAGGGTGGATAAGAACCAAGCTCGGGCATCTTTGCAAATTCTGCTATTCATTTTAAATTCTGTATTACCTTTTAGCCTGACTGAGCAACCTCTGAGTGTTTCTGGTTGTGAAAGATGTTAGAATTGGGCCAAGGGTGGCACAATGGGTGGCTCAGCTATGTCCTAAGTGGGCCCAGAACTCAGAGACGCCTCTTCTATGCATACCCAGGGGTGGCCTCAGATTGGACTTGATCCCACCCCCCCATGCCCCCACACATGCCTGCACTGGCCAAGCCCTGCTGCCTCCCAGGCAGTGGGAGGGGAGGATGCCAGGCACAGATGGGTCCCAGCAGGCCAGTTCCACATGCTGGGAAGCGAGGCCGCTGGACTCTGCTTTCCTCTCTGTGCACATCTGACGCTTACTGAAGAGCTTAGTTTCAGCCACACACAGCCCAGAACTGCTGCTAGGTTACTGTGCTTCTTCCTCCTCTCTCCCATGCGGATGAGCCTCTTCTTCATGGGTTTCTCCGTCAAAATCCCAGGGCCTTTATCTCAGCATCTGAGAAAGCGGTTGGGTTCCCCAGGGCCAGGAAGCTGCAGAAGCAGTTGGAGAGCAGTACGGCCTAGGTACAGAGGCAGCCTGGGCTTGGGGGACAGGGCTGTTATCCACTGGCCACACTCTGAGCCTGCATTAAAGAATCTGCTGCCTTGTAGACACCCAACCAAGTGGTAACTAGAAGTCAGGGAACAAGTGTGAAATGGGAAACAGATTAAAGTGAGCTGTGACCTCTGTGGTTCTTAGAAAATGCATTCAAGCCATTTACACAAGTAACCTCATAACATTTTTGGTGAAAATAGGACTTAATAGGTTAATCAATAAATCAATGCAGGAACACTGAGGGAGGTAGAATGGCAGGCCCCAGGGGCCCTTTGCTTTTCAGGATTCTGAGATCAGAGGGAAAGCTTGACAAGTGACTGACTTGTGGTGAGGACCCTTGGTCCCCAGCGCCAGCTAACCAGGTGCACTGACCACCTCCTCCTTAACTCACCAGAAGAAAGGAATGTAGTTATTCTGACCCAAGGCAAAACTCTCTGAATCAATGACTTAGTTGGGAGTTCTCTAATGTTCTGGTTTTGTGGATTCTTGTGTTCATATGGTTTCAGGCATGTTAAGCTACTGTGACAGATACGGCGAAAGCATGAAACATGTCCTCAAGACTTTCGGACCTATTCCAGAGTTTTCTGGGGCCACAGTTGAGAAGGTTCACCAGGTACGTGGACTGACTGCAGAGAGTTGTGCATGCTGAGTGGGCGGGAGCTCTGTGGACAGGGACATTTATTGTGCAGCTAGTATCTTTGTTTCTGGTTTTCACAGTCGCTCATCTCTAACTTCTGTCATGGTCCTTGGAGACCTTCAGAGCAGTGTGACCAATGAACTTGGAGGTCACTGTGACTTATCTCTGAGGAGCTGGAGTCTCTGGGTTCAGGAAACTCATGTTCATGGAGTGTTTACTCTGCTCCCTTTTTCCTTGAGAGCAAATTCAGTTTGCACAGTAGGACCAACAATTATGCTCCTGGTAAATTACCTCCTCTTCATGCATTTTTGTTTTTTTATTTTAAAAAAATTTTCATTTACAGTTGATTTCAGTATTATTTTATATTAGTTTTAGGTATAGAGCAGTGATGGCGAACCTATAACACGCGTGTCAGAGGTGACACGCGAACTCATTTTTTTGTTGATTTTTCTTTGTTAAATGGCATTTAAATATATAAAATAAATATCAAAAATATAAGTCTTTGTTTTACTATGGTTGCAAATATCAAAAAATTTCTATATGTGACACGGCACCAGAGTTAAGTTAGGGTTTTTCAAAATGCTGACACGCCAAGCTCAAAAGGTTCAATATGCTAATTAACTTCCCCACCCTCAAACATGGCAGCGCCCACAGCCATAAGATGGCGGCACCCAGTCCCCTCAGCCCTGCTGGAGCTGCAGGTACATGGTAAAGCCAGGCCTGCCCCCAGGCGGGCATGGCCACTCCGCGTATCTGCCTCCAGAGTCCCTTAGTCCCCGCAGCCCCCTAGCCGCCCAGGGCTGCCCGAGGCTCAGGTAACCAGGGCCATCCAAGGCTTGCGCTGCCGGCAGTGGCAGCAGCAGAGGTGTGATGGGGCATCACCTTCCCCTGATCGCTGGGTCGCCTCCCACCCCTGAGGGCTCCCGGACTGTGAGAGGGGACAGGCCGGGCTGAGGTACCCCCCTACTCCAGTGCATGAATTTTCATGCACTGGGCCTCTAATATAAATATATATTGTGACATATTTATGCATTTCAGTTCTCTACTATATGATTTGAAACTTTATTTGCTTTTTTTCATATCACTTCATATTATTATTATTTTTTTAACAATTCCTTAGTGATTTCTTACTCAGTACTTCAGCTGTCCTTTTGTTCTTTTATTTTTCTCTTTCATGGATGCCATGTTCTTTGGAAGCTTGTTTAGACCAAGTTAATGGCCTTTTAGGCTTCCTCCACGTGAATAGGAGTTAATTTTTTGAATAATAAGAATTATATGTCACAGGATTTTAGAGATGCTTAGGTTGGGCATGGCCAAAAAAAGGTTGGGAATCACTGGGGTTAGACATATAATTTGCAAAGTGATCCCCCTGATAAGTCTAGTAGCCACCTGACACCATACATAGTTATTATATCATTGACTATATCCCCTATGCTGTACTTCATATCCCTGTGACTATTTTGTAACTGCCAATTTGTACTTTTTAAAAAAATCATACCCAGTGAGATGTTTACTGATTTTACAGAGAGAGGAAGGGGCAGGAGAGAGAGAGAGAGAGAGAGAGAGAGAGAGAGAGAGAAACAGTGTTAAAGAAACATTGATCAGTTACCTCTTGTACCTGAAACCTAGGTATGTGCCCTGGCTAGGAATTGAACCTGAGATCTTCTGGTGTATGGGATAACACTTCAACTGGCCAGGGCATGTGCTTCCTTTTTTTTCAAAAAAAAAAAAGCATATTTTTATTGATTTCAGAAAAGGAAGGGAAAGGGAGAGATAGAAACATCAACAATGAGAGAGAATCATTGATTGGCTGCCTCCTGCATGCCCCACACTGGGGATTGAGCCCACAACCTGAGTATGTGCCCTGATAGGGAATCGAATCGTGTCCTCTTGGTTCATAGGTCGACACTCAACCACTTAGGCATGCTAGCTGGGCCAGGCATGAACTTCTTATCCCTTAATGATTTTCACCCATCCTCCCAAGTCCCCCTACCATCTGGCAACCATCAGTTTGTTCTCTGTATCTGTGAGTTTGTTTTTATTTTCTTTGTTTATTTTGTTTTATAGATTCCACATGTAAGTGAAATCATATGGCATTTGTCTTTCTCTGTCTGACTTATTTCACCTGGCATAATAACCTCTAGATCAGGGGTGGGCAACCTTTTTGTGAGTGTGTGCCAAAACCAGCAAAATCTCTGACTCAAAATTCTTCTGCGTGCCAACCCTAATTTTTTGAGAACATGTTACGCCTACTT